GCTACTCCCAACGCTACTGCCCTGGTTCTCCTTCCCAGAGGACTGAGCACAGGGCCCCGGAGAGCACAAGCTATGTGTTCTCGTAAGAAGGAATTGCCGTTTCCCTCAACCATCACTCACTCAACAGTTCCTGAGTGAGCAATATGCACCAGGCACTGACCACACAGCACCAAATGAGGGATGAACCCCGCCCCTGGGGGGCATACACCCTAGCGGGGGACAGACAGCAGTTATAATCCAAATATACGGTATGTTAGAGTGCCACGGAAAAACAAAGCGCAGCGCTGGGGTGGGGATGCAGAAGTAGGGGAGCTCCTTTATGTGGGGTGGTCTGAGAGGCCCCTCCTCTGTCCAGAGGGTGGCCTGGCTGTAACAGGCTAAGGCCAATCACCAAAGTCAAAAAGAACGTAACTCTTTCAGAAAGAGAACACTCTTGGTTTTGGTAATAAAAATCCAGGGACTTTATTTCTTAATCCTTTAAATTGGAAACACTTGTTGCTATGAGGTAGGGGGCTCGTGGTTTGTGGGAACAGGGTGGGAATCTGGCTGAACAGCCTTCGGTTACCTTAAATTTTGAAATACATGACTACATTTCCTTTTTAAAACATTGATTCACTGAAATAGGAAAGAATGTGCAGTCTTTTGGAAAAGATTAATCATTTCCATGAACTATTTCCTTAAAGGGGGCCTGTCTGCATATCTGCTGACTGCTGACAGAACACAGCAGATGGGAGTCTTTCTGTGCTCCTCAGAGGGCAAAGTCTCGAGCAGGGGGACAGCCACTTGGCAGCCTGTGAGCTTGGGCCAGGTGGCACATGGGTTGTGCGTGGGCACTTGACTAACCGTGCGCACAGTGAGACAGGCAACCCGGGAGGCAGGGCAGAAGGCATGGGAAGCGGAGGAGCAGGGTGCTCGCTGGGAGCTGACAACACCTCTGGGTCGCTCTCATACTTAAGTGGCTCTCCATCCTGGCTATCACATTCACTCCCAGTTTTATCTTCAGGCACCACTGATGCATCCTATTTGGAGAGCCACAGACAAATGGCTATACTGAGGAATCCCCTCTGAGACCGGTCCAGGGGTGCCTGGGTGGATCAATCAGTTGAGGGTCAGACTCTTGGTTTCGGCTTGGGTCGTGATCTCAAGCCTTGAGTTGGGCTCCCCACTGGGCAGGGAGTTTGCTTCTCTCTCTCTTCCCACCCCCAGCCCGCCCCCTGCTTGTGCTCTCTCTCTCTCTAAAGTAAATAAATCAATCTTGGAGGAGGCGGAAGGCTGATCCACAAGCCAGGATTTAGCGGGCATGCTCCCCTGGTTTTCTGGTGGAGCTGGGGCCAGAGAGCACTTTGCTAGGGTGGCTCCATGGAGGTGGGTGTGGGGAGGGAAGGGCTGGCTCTGTAAGTGGCAGAGGCCTGAATAACAGGGACTTGAGAAGACTCAAGATATCCCAACTTAGTCCTCAATGTAACAAGCACAGGGCTATGACCAGGCCAAGAGGAAAGGTAAGGAATTAGGGGCCCTGTATGGATGAATGTCTGTGTCCCCCAGATTCTGATACTGAAGTCTAATCCCCAATGTGATGGTATTTGGAGGGGGGCCTTTGGTAGGTCATTAGATTTGGATGAGGTCATGGGGGTGGAGTCCCATAATGGGACTGGCGCCCTTATAAGGGGATGAAGAACCCAGAACTTTCTCAGCCACGTGAGGACGTAGCAAGAAGACAGCAGTCTACAAAGGCAGGAAGCAGGTTCTCACTAGACATCAGATCTGCTGGCATCCTGATCTTGATCAGACTGCAGAACTGTGAGGAATGTTGGTTCAACCACCCAGTCTAAGGTCTTTTTGTTACAGCAGCTTGAACTAGGGCTGTTTGGGGTACGGCCAGAAGGGCACGATGGGGGCTGCTAGCCGGTGGGAGATGGGCTCTCCACATAACGCAGCCACCAACCCTGGCCACTACAAATTCAGGCCGCCAGTCACTCAGTGTGGGCACTCAAAGGTCCTCAGCAGAGACAAGATCAGGAAGCTGAGCCTGACATGCACCAGGCACTTAGAAACAGCCTAACAGAAGAATTTCAGATTTTAATCAGGGGCAGTGAGCACGGGAAACCCAGTATTCTGTCCCATTTCAGGAAACCCTCAGTGTAAACCGTCCAGAGCCAGGGACTCCCAAATTTAGGCCCAGTCCCTATTTTCATAACTGACATCTCTCAAGCAGCAGAATCTGTATCCTTCTTCAAAAAAGGCATACAATTTCCTTTCAGTTAAAAAAGAAAAGTTTATGGTTTTGCTGGTAGCAGACAAGAGATCTAGCTGGATTTGTAGGCAACCTCAAGTAGTTAATGAACAATTACTGTGGTTTGTCCAAAGAGATGGGAGTTTTCCAAATAAAAAAGCAGACTGGGGGCGCCTGGGTGGCTCAGTCATTAAGCATCTGCCTTCGGCTCAGGTCATGATCCCAGGGTCCTGGGATCAAGCCCCACATCTGGCTCCCCGCTTGGGTAGCTCCCCCTGCTTGTGTTCCGTCTCTGTCTCTCTGTCAAATAAATAAAATCTGAAAAAAAAAAAAAAAAAAAAAGGCAGGGCGCCTGGGTGGCTCAGATGGTTAAGCGTCTGGCCTTCGGCTCAGGTCATGATCCCAGGGTCCTGGGATCGAGTTCCGCATCGGGCTCCCTGCTCCTTGGGAGCCCGCTTCTCCCTCTGCCTCTCTCTCTCTGTCTCTCATGAATAAAGAAATAAAATCTTTAAAAAAAAAAAAAGCAAAGCAGGCTGAAGTTTTAGGCCACTATTAGAGGCAGTTTGAGGGATGTGATTGGGATGCTGACTTGCTGGGGGTCTATGGGACCAGTCAGTGGTTTGTGGTAACAGAGCAGAAAGCAATAGTCTCTGGCAGCTAAGAACACTGGAAGGTTGTCCCGGACAATGCAGGGCACCCAGCTGTCCTGAAGTAATACATGAAACCACAAAACAAAGAAGTAAACTCAAGAAAAGTGACTAGGCTCTAGCTTTGTGACTCTCAATACGACACCCAACACTCTGGGCTGCTGTCCCTTCATCAGTCCAGCACAGGGGGCCTCCAGCTCTCGCCCTCTCCAACACTGTCACTGGTCCCGTGAGCAAACCAGCTTGGTTTTATCAGGGTTTGTAAGAAGCTACTAACCTCCCTCGGACTCGGTTTCCTTATCTGTAACAAAGAGGATAAAATTGGGAGAAGCCATTGAGCAGTGAAAGCAAATGGACTTTGGATTTAGGCAAGCAGAGTCTCAATTCTTAACCCTGTGTAACCAAAAGCAGGTTACTTGACCTCTCTGAGTCTTACTTTCTTCACCCTGCAAAATGAAGACAATAATGTCTGTTATACGGGCTGTGGAAGGATCCTGCTCACACTGTCTTCCAGTCCGGGCAAAGTAAACATCAGTCTTCTTCCTTCTTTCTTATTCCACATTTAGCAAATGTGCGAGAGGGATGTGAATGCCCTGAAAAATGTCCGTTAAAAAAAAATTCAACCCTTCAAAGGATGTTATCAGCGGTGCCATCAGATAGAGTGACCTCCACGTCTCTCTTCCAGTGGAAGAGAGCCTACCTTCTGATCGGCACACTCGCCTCCGGCGCTGTCAGGGAGGGCCTGGAAGAGGTGAGGACAAGAGGCTGCGGGGAGCACTGAGCACAGAAGCACGGTGGTCCCGTGGGTGCCATCTCAGCCGGGCTTTGCAGCAGCAGCACACTTGGGCGAATAGTCTGGGCCCCCGGCCAGCAGGCACGAGAAACCCCCAAGCTGGGAGACTTTGCCGTAATGATGTAGTGAGCTCCCTAAGGTCCTGAGACCTGGCTCCCGAGGCAGTGCAGGAAGAGGCACTACTCTAAGGCGCCTAAGTTAACCACAGAAAAGTCTGAGCTCTAAGTTAACCACAGAAAGAAAGATTCTCATCACATGTAAAAATTCACAGCTTTCCAAAGCCAGTCACCTGGTGGGGAACAGCGTGGGCCCATAAGCAGAGCTCAGGGAAGGACTCCTCCCACACTAGGGAGAAGACGTGCTGCCACCGGTCTTGGCCAGCCCGCTTCCCATGTCCCCAACCTTCCCAGTGCCAGTTCTAGAACAAGTGATCCCAGCTCAGGCTCTCCTGCTCCACAAGCGGGTGTAGACGGCAGTGGCTTTCCTGTATGGAGAAAATTCATCATTTATAACACAGCAACTGACCCATCTGCTCCTCATGAGAAGAATGTATTTAAACCTGGAAAGAGTCATAATTCTGAGATAGTCCACATGTCGTCAGCTTTGCCTTCCACAGATGCAGGGCTTCTCCCCTTTGATGAGGGACCTTGTGGCTGAGCTGGAGAAACAGCCGTGGGGAAGGGGGTGCTCTCCCTACCAGCATGTATCAGGTTCATGATCTGGATCAAGTCCCGTGCAAACAGAGCTAGGACTGTGGCAGTGAGGGAAACAAACATATTCCGTAGGCGGTGGGAACCAGAAAACTTGCCTAGAGGAAAGGACTCTGGGCATGACAACCCTAGTAGAGGCAGGAGGCAATTCTGGTTCTCATCAAACTCTGCCCTTGTTTGCCATTCACCACATACCCTAATCTGAAGGGTCGGCCCTGTTCTAGCTATGGCACCTCGTCAGCAACAGTGAATGCTATAGGACCTCAGAAGCATGGCGGTGCTAAGGATGAAGACTCTAGGCAGAGAATGTCCTAGTGGTGGGTTCTAGGAAGCAGGTGGGTCCCCAGACAGTGCCCAATCCCTGGGAGTGGCTACATGCGGGAGGTAAAGGTCACGAGTGGCTCGGGCACGTGGACCCCCACGGAGGAAGCTGCCCCCCCCCCAACATCTGCAGTGGCCACATGTATCAGAGGCCGGCAGGCGGCATATGTGAGAACCGAGCCCACGCTAGCCATGAACCTGGGACGCCCCCCCACCCCCGACTCCACGGCAGCAGGGGGCAGGGCCCGGGGCCTGACCCTTCTAAGGCTCAGAGTGGGCTCTGTGGCAGGACTGGCTTGGCTTGCTTCAAAGACTGCAGTTCAGTAGCCGTGGGCCCTCAGACAAACTGGGACAGGTTGGGGACTTTGATGTTGAGATCACCAATGTTGATGTTCCGAGGAATCTCCGGCAGATTGATGTTTTTCACAGCAGACACGGCCCGGGCAGGGGCTGCTGAAAGGCCACCCTGAGGAGAAATGGGAAGAGGCATGAGACACATGCTCAGTGTCATCTCTCTAATGCTTAGAAACACAAGTGACGGAGACCTGGAGAGCGTCCACGCTGAACACACACAATGCGTGTTTTGGTTTTTCGTCCTCATTCCTCAAAGGTAGCCAACACGACGATCTTGAGGTTGACGGGAGCCATGGGGGTAGGGACCTGCACTCTGTGCTCCCGAAGGGGTTGTGGCTTATGCAGTGTTGTAGCCCCAGCACATAACAGTGCCCGGCACACTGCAGGTGCTTTGCTGCAATAACCTGAGATGGTTCAACCGAGTCAAAGTATTGGGGGCCCTTTTCAGGCTCCAAACAAAACCCTTTCCTGAAGAGGCTGACTCTTAGAGACAAGTGCAATCACAGGGAAACTCTTATAAGGAAAAGGAAAGTTAGAGCTTAGGGCAACTGCTTGCCAACGAACACCGTGAGATGGGAAAGAGCTGGCTTTGGAAATGTCATGTGGCAGCAAGATGGGAGGAAGGACATGGGTCTGATGTACCCACGGCCACGGAAGGGCTGGTAACAAACACAGAGGAAGGCGGCCACAGTTGGTGCTCCTCTGGCTCACCCGCAGTGTGCAGAGAAGGGGAGAAGCCGACAAGACTCTCAGAACCATTTCCTCCTTACCAATGCTTTCAGGAGACCGACTCCAGTTCCACTCTTGCCCAGCACGTCTCCATTCTTCTGCTTTCCAAACCCCTTGCCTCTGACTCACTTACTATTCCTGGAAGCTTCCCGGCCTGCCTCCCTCAAAGAACTGTTGTGCCACTCTAGCTGTGGTCTGGAAAAGCTGCTTCAGCAGGACCGCCAGACCTCACAGACAGAGGAACTCCTGGTTTTGCAAGATCAAGTTCTGTTACAAGAAGCAATGAAGCTCTTGAAGATGCTCAGCTCATTAAAGAGGTAACTTATTCTATTTCCGCCACATGTGAAGGTGTATACCTGTAGCCTCAACTCTCCAGGAAGGCTGATGGAGGTGATAGACCTCAGAGGGGTAGGACAGAAGTAACTGTGAGCATTTATTTTATTTTTTTTAAGTAATTTCTATGCCCAACGTGGGGCTTGAACTCACAACCCCAAGATCAGGAGTCACACACTCCACCGACTGAGCCAGCCAAGTTGCCCTGACTGTGAGCACTATGTGGGGGTGGGCTGGGGTATGTTATTTGCAAACCCAGCCCATACTCTACTGCAGCTGAGTAGAAGGTTAACTGGAAATAAGGCAACTGGCAACTCTGAGGTTCTGAAAGATACCATGAGACATGGCCGCTGGGAGATCAGACTGCCATAGCACTAGGAAACCATGCTGGGACCAGAGAAGGGCGTTCTGTCTCCCTCCAGGGAACGTGTAGCTTTGAAAGGAAGAATGACAAACCACAAACATGGGCCATAATCCCCCAAGCCCGGAGCTGTTTGTCTTCCTGTGCCATCTGACTTTTCCATTCACACTTTTAACCTTAATTCTTACATGTTTAATTTTCAGCACTGGCCTTCAAGTCAATTGGTTTTGATGGACTCAAGGAAGAAAGAGGAACATAAACATCCCTAAGGTTTTCCAGCAACACAAACCAACACATGTGTCCATTCCTCCTTCTGCCCCAGGCTCTTGGAACCAGCCAGGCCAAGAGTACAGCAGTGCACTCACCTCGGATTTCTCCAGCCTGTTCTGAGCTTCAATCTGAGCCACGATTTCATTCATGTTGGTTTCCAACACCATCCCACCCATCACCACCTCCTGAAGGATGTAGTGCACCTAGAGGGGAAGCAAAAATAAGAAGGGTTAGAGCACCCTGTGGTAGCTGGGGTGTGGCCTGAACGCAGACCTCATGGGCCTTTCCGGCACCAGCCCAGCAGTCGGACCTGACACACCAGCTCCTGATTCCCAACAGACACTTGAGCCCCTGGGTCATCCACCTCTCAAGCGAGCCCACACGGATGGCCCCCACGCCCTGGCATTCCCTAGCATGAAACTCTTCCATGAGCAGTGATAGCTCATTCTTACCTGCGGAACTGCCTGGCCACACTCAAGGCAGGGGGGTGGTGGCTGAGAGCACAGGCTCTGAAGTCAGACGGACCTTGTTTAAAATTTCGGCTCTGCTCTCTGTTAGCTGGGTGATCGTGGGCAAATTATCCTTTCAGTCCTCCAGCTTCCTTCCAGAACCATGGTGAGGACTGAGCGCGATAACCTATATCAAACACCTGGCCTGGCGTCTGCCCCACAACAGGTTCTGAATGCATCAGGATGGCTGTCATTACCAGTATCATCATCACGATCATCACGGATGCATTCCGTCCATCCAGCTGTGGCCGAGCAAGCCCGGCCCAGTGGGATGTCTCCCAGGCTTCCTAAGATAGACCCTTCTGCCTGGGCTCTGCTGGCGGCAAAATGGGCACCCTTCTTTGTACTTGTCCGCATCCCTTTCTTAGAGCTCCGGTAAGAAACCAGGCTCAGCATGAATACTCGCCTGGGTACCAGGCTCACACCTGAGCTCGGGTTCCATCTAGCCAGGACTCCCCAACAAAGGTGACTCTCGGTGTGCTCGACTGCTGTGCCCACAGAGCCGTGGTGCTGACTCAATCGCTGTGGCCCATGGTAGCGGGAGGGCTGCCATGGAAACCCCCAGAGGGTCAGGTAAGAGGTGCCCGCTGGGGTCCGTAAGGGGGAGTGGGGCTTCCTCTTTCAAATCAAATCATATCAACATGGCCTTCAAGGTGCTTTCAGTCATGCTGGGAAGATCACAGGTACCACCTTCTATTGTTAATTAAGTGCCAAATTAGCAGTCTGAGGAGGAAGAGGGCAGTGGCTTAGAGAGACCAGAGAGGTTCACGGAGATGGTGGGAGGACTGAGCTGGGCTCTGACATCGGAGAAGGACATGAGGTGAAAGGCACTGGAGGAAGCAATTCAGCTGGTGTTGGGTATGAGGAGCACCAGGATCTGGCTGGTATGGCAGATTTACCAAGAGGCTAGAGACAATGCTGACAAGGTAGTTTGGGCCTAAAGTCTGGGCACTACTGCCATTAGGAGCTGGATAATTTCCTATTGGGGAGGGGGGCTGTCCTGTGCATTGTAGCATGTTCGGAAGCACCCCTGGGCTCTGCTCACCAGATTCCAGTAGCACCCCTCCAGCTGTGACAACCAAAAATGCTTCCAGACATGGTCAAATGTCTCCTGGCGAAATCGCCCCCAGTTGAGACACACTGGTCTAGCGTCTAGACTGGACCATGGAGGCTTTGAGGGTCAATTTACTCTGTAGGCAACAAAGAGTCAAGACAAATGATGTGTCCGTGTGTCTGTGTGCTTGTTCGTGTGCATTTTTGACACATGAAGCTCTCTGGCACATCAGTTCTCTGTATTTTGCCCATAGTTAAGTGGAGGGAATGCATTAACTGATATAACCAGGGTACATCTTCTGGCCTCAGGGAGGAAGTGTAATAAAAGCATATGTTTTGGAGCGCCTGGGTGGCTCAGTCGGCTAACCTCTGACTCTTGATTTCGGCTCCTGTCATGATCTCAGGGTGGTGAGATCCAGACCCTCGTCGGGCTCCGTGCTCAGCAGGCAGTCTGCTTGAGATTCTCTCTCTCCCTCTGCCCCTCCCCACTGCGTGCTCTCTCTCTAAATAGATAAATAAAATCTTAAAAAAGCGTATGGGTAAACACAAAGTATATTTGCCTACATTGAGCTTTACAAATCACTTTTCTGTCTACAAAGACACGCTCATGCGGCATTCTTAAATTTTATACAATAGGAATTATTTCATTACTTAAATGCAAATGGAGATTTGATGGCAAAACGCTCATATCTAGATAATTAACAAAATGTTAAACAAGACTGATCTTAAAATTACTTGTTGGAGAACTACACCATTTATACTTCCCCATCAAGAAATCAGCCTCTGAACACAGTATGGTTGTTTCTCAAAAATTTTTTAAAAAATAGAATAGCCGTATAATCAAAGAATTCTGCCACTGGGCATATACTCAGAGGAATTAAAACAAAAGTTTCCAAAAGATACTTGTACACGTATCATTACAGCAGCATTATCCACAGAATAACCAAAAGGCAGGAGCAACCCAAGTGCCCATCGATGGATGAAAGGATGAATGTGACATACGCATACAAAGGAATATTATTCGGTCTTAAAAAAGGAGAAAACTCGGACACCTGCTACCGCATGGATAACCCCTGAAGACATTACACTAAGTGAAATAAGCCAGAGACGGAAGGACAGATCCGGCATGACCTCCTTATGTGAGGTACCTAGTAGTCAAAACCAAAGGCATAAAGTAGAACGGTAGTTGCTGGGCTGAGGTGGGAGGGGATGGGGACTTGTTTAATGGGAACAGAGTTTCAGTTGGGCAAGATGAAGAATTCTGGAGAAGGGTCACACAACCACGTGAATGTGCTTAACACTACTCAACTGTACACTTCAAAATGAAGATGGAAAATTTTATGTAACATAAAATTTACCAGTACTCCTAGTATTTTATTCCTTTTGTTTAATGAGCCCCTTCTTCATGGGGAAGTAGTACTTGTTGAGCATCTACTACACGATGAGCACTTCATATGTAACTTATTTTAATTTTACGATACCCATGTGAGGTAGGTAATATGACCTTCACTTTATACATGAGGAAAGTGAAATATGGAAACGTCAATCAGCTATTCCGCTGTCACACGTATCAGAAGGAGGACAGAGTAATGGGGCTAGGTCTGTCTGACTCCGGAGCTCATGTTCTGCACCCCTTCCCCCATGATGCCTCAAAATCCCAAACTGTGTCTTCTGCCCTGTCCATCCCTTACCCCTAGTCCAAACAGAATCATTTTAAGACTTGCCTTTGGTATGTCAGAGATCTTGTATGAATTCTTCCATGCTCTATCCCCAAGGCCTAGAATACTGCCCAGTGAGGAGGAGGCATACTGACTGAATGAAAAGGCTTTTTGTAAGTCTGAGTAGCATATTCCTGGGGCTTTAGGTGCTTAGAAGGTGGAAGGCAGTGTGGTGGTGGAGGCTGGATGGAGAAGGTGTAGCAGAAAACCTAACACAGAATATCATGGGGACCAGCCACTGGTTAACAGAAAATGTCAGTTAAGATTTCTGATTTGAACACTGCATCATGAAATCATAATTTTAAAATGTTATTCAAGATGTATTCTAAGTGCAAGAAGGAGAAATAAATAAAAAGGCAAACTCCATTTTCAACAAAACTGGAAGACAACCAAAATCCCAGACTCTAAAACAGCTAGAAAAGCTGTCAAAGGCAGGGCGCTCAAACAAGGTTCCTTTCCTTTAGAGAAAGAAAAGAAGAACGGATACTACGGAGAGGAGACACAGGAGCTGGAGAGAAAGAGCTGTCCAGACAGACTTCCTGTAGGTAAAGGACATGCTCTCTGGGACCAAACAGATTCCTGGTTTTGAGAGGCAGAAATGTCCGTGGACCTGGAGCTAGGAAACCACACAAACCAGCTATATTTGCCTCACAGAGTTAAACTCTGTGGCAGCATCTGCATCGTGGAAAAGCTCACAGATGCCTATCTCTGCTGGCTGGAGAGAGAGAAAGGGTAAATGAACTCACCCAGAACCTTAAATCATGAGAATGGCTGCAGCGAGCATGGAACGCAGACTTGGTACCTCTTCTATACAAGCATCCTGCAAAAAGCTAGTCCCTGAAAAACTCACCTATTTAAAGAGGAGTTATAAAAATGAAATCTGCACAGGATATATACAGAGATACAACAAAAAAAAATTAGGGAAGAAACTGGAAAACCAAAAGGCAGACTAAGACTACACACTGGAAAACGCTGCTACAGAGCAGATGAACGGCAATAAAATCTTTTGCAAAACTGAAAAAAGAAAACCATGAAGCAAGAGCTCAGAGCAGAGGGACACCTGGGTGGCTCAGTCGCTTAAGCATCTGCCTTCAGCTCAGGTCAGGATCCCAGGGTCCTGGGATTGAGTCCCGCATCGGGCTCCCTGCTCAGCGGGGAGTCTGCTTCTCCCTCTGCCTGCCGCTCCCCCTGCTTGTGCTCCCTCCCTCTCTCTCTCTCTCTCTCTAAAACAAAAAAAAAAAAAAAAAAGAGCTCAGAGCAGAAGAGCAAGAGCTCACAGAAGGGGTAGGGAGATGACAGGGAGAAGAGAAGACATCAACTAGCACAGCTCGGGGAAGAAGGGGAAGGAAAAAATGAACCGAAATGAGGGTAGAACAGAAAGGAACAAAAGGGAGAAGAGACACCGTGGAAAGCATGGTAAGGAACAAAACGGAGGGACATGGAAAAAAGCACATACAATGAAACGGGAAAGGCGTTCTCAACGGAATTGAGAGCGAACAGGAGTTACAGAAGACAGCCAAGGCCAGCAGCATGCGCAGAAAGGAGAACTGTAATTGAAGCAAACAGGCAGGGTTGCTCATAAACATTCCATGAAGATCTACTTCGAGATGTTTCTGAAACAAAAGTATCCACATACTGAAAGGACACACTGTATCCCAGGAAAAACTGGCCCAGAACAGTCAGTGCCAAGACAGACCCTGAGGGTAAGATTTCTGCAACCAGGCAAAAGGATCAAATCATGTAAAAGAGGGGCAAACTCTTCAAAATTCCCCCAGTAAAATTCAGTGCTAGCAGAAAAAGATGCAGTACCTACACAATTGCCAAAGAGAGGCAGCGAAACCCAAGAGCTGTACCTGGGGGGCTGCTGATCCAGAAACACTGTTCCCCATGAGTCTTTCCGGAGAAATCTACAAACGGAAACAC